GGGCGACCGAGTTGGGCGGATCATCAACTGCGTTGCGCAGTTCTCAGTTGTACAGTTTTGAGTCGAGGCGACGTGGTGGGAGGCGGGGCTCTGATCTCGACGACTTGGGGAAATGAATATGCGAAACGGTGGGACGAACCAAGAAACGGAACAGAGGTCGCTGATTGGCGTCGGACACGACACGGAGTCGCGACTGGCGGAAGGCTCGTTCGTGACGACGAGGCCAAAGACCGCAGCCGGCAGCTCGCTCGTTCATGCGTACAGCGCGCTTACGATGACAAAGTAAAATAATAAAACGGATGCGGAGGGAAAGAAAGCGAATGGGGCTCATGCAAAACGCACAAAGGCCTGCGGGGGATATGAATGTTGCGAATGAACGAACGAACGAGAGGCTGATAGTGGTGTACGTGTTGTTTAGGGGGACCACATAACACACGTCCGCTCCATTTTCCGGGCGCTGACTCTCGCCATCCATTATCTACCTGGTGCGTGTATCTTTACCGCGAGCTTTGCTGTTATACATGTAGGTGACATCAACGTCAGTGCATCGTACGTATGGTACTGTGACTGCAGCAGGGCAGCAGCAGTCACAGTCCAGAGCCCAGTCCAGAGCCGAGTCAGGAGGACTCGGGCGAGTCGGGCGATTGCGATTCACGAAGAAGACGCAGAAGCAGAAGCAGAAGAGATGGAAGCTGGAGCAGGAATATTCTGGCGCCACAGTGCGACATCGTCCTCGTCCTCGTCGCCTCGTCGCCTCGCGTAGAGAGAAACGCGTTAGTACTGTACAGTCGTCAGTACAACAGAGGCGAGCAGCAGCAGGTACGAACTTCAAGACCACTGTCGTCGTCGGCTGGTGGTCGAGTCTAGGACTCTAGCGCCGAGAGTGGAGCCGAGGCCCGAGAGCGTAGACTGGAGTCTGGACTGACTGGGCTCGGTGAATGTGAATCTAGGCAGTGCTAGTCGTGCTTAGCACTAATGATGCGCGGTGTCAGGCTAAGATACTGAGGCCAGAGTAACTCTCGCGCGTGTGGTCTGCGCAGAGGAACATCGGAGAAGAGTTTGTGAGAAGAAGCGATGCAATGAGAAACTTCTCATGATTGATCGGATTATGAATGAGACGGAGACGGGTGATTCTACTCCCCATCTCATCTATGCATCTCGCTAGGTAGCGAACAAACAGACAACGACGTGAAGGCGACCAGTGCATGACTCCATCCATCCTTTATCACATCAGGCATTTGGACCACTGGTGTTTGAATGCAAGAAGACCAAATGGGCGAATAACACACGGCCACCACATCGCACATGTCAGTGGAACCAAAATGATCTTAAATGGCCCACCTTTGGGTACGACCATTATGCGGATTCTGCGTACCTTGTAGAGCAGAGCAGTCTCTGGGCAACTTTGGATGACGAGGTTATTCAATCATAAACTACAATAATAAGATTACAGTTTGTGAGCCCATGGGCCAGGCCCTCGGCTTGAATATTGTTTATCGTCTACCGAGCGGTTGTGAATCGAACGAAAAGTAAAGAAGAGCAGAAGACGATCGCATTACCGAACCGGCGTTCGTTGCTGTTATTGTTGTAGTCGGTCAGTAGGACTCGGTTTCTCCTACGATCCTATGCTACACCAACTGACATAACAGGAACTGCCATGGCCTTTGGCTCGCTCGCTCGCTCGCTCAGTGCTCGCAGCACGGCCTTGTCGTAGTCGTCGTCGTCATAGCAGCTCTGCTTTACTTTCGAGTTCTAGAGGGCCATGATTATGCACGATGGGCTTATAAATTGTATCGTTGGAGATGTATCTCGAGCGTGATGAATGCTCTGGATATGGTTCCCTGGTGGTGTTTGAGGGTCTTCGCGTTTGCAGGACTAGTTGTAGGACTGGGGCCCGGACTCAGGTATCATGGATGGATGACTCGGAAGGAGCAACCCAAGACATCAATAAGCAAATTTGAAGGCATCGAGTAAATGAATGACATGGATGCTCATGTACCTCTGTGTACTGTTGAGTGTCGTAGATGGCATGGCGGGGGGCGGCCTTCTAGTCACCTGTAAAGTCACTACCTAGCAGAGTACACGAGCGAGGGAACCATAAACTCTAAAATATCCTGCATAGAAACCATAAACTACAATCAAGAAACGCTGGGTGGACACGGTCCAAAATGGCAAGGGGAAATATCCCCAGAATGATGTGGCCTTCTTGCAGGGGGGAAATTTACATGTGGGAGCGGAGAAAAGCTAGAATTTGGACCCCGAGAAAGAGGGGAAAAACAATACATTATGAGACGGGTCGGCCGCGGGGCCGGGCTCCCAGGCTGACAGCAGTTGACGAAATGAGGATCTCGAGCGAGAATATTGTAGGATTCAAGCGGAGAGATTTGAGTGTGTGCAAACAGAGATAGATAGTGAGCAGGAGGATATCATGACACCCTATCCTAGTCCGAGACTTCCACATCATTCATGCTCATGATTTCGTCTCTCCCTCCCTCCAATATAAAGTTGTATTATATGTGCGCATCGCGCTACAAAACTTTTCGCAACACCCTTCTCCGAGCCCATCCCATGGTTTGTCTGACAGACTGGAAGCGATCGGATCGCAGGACGAGGAGCATGATGGTACGAGTGTGCTCGCCGCACCTTCATTGAAGCTTCGACCTCGCTCGATTGACGGGGAATTTCCCCTAAAGCATTAATAAAAAATTACCTCGCTGTTGTCGCTGTCTCTCTGCACGGCTGTCTGTCCCTCTGTCAGTCAGTCCGGCCTCCGAACCAATTTTAAGTGACAATTAGATAGTCCTGTTATGCCGAGGACATGTCTCAACTGCGAGTAGGACGATTTGGAGAGTTGACAATGCATGAGGCACTTATTATTGGAATGCTATGTTCTTCTTCTTCTTTCGTTTGTCCTCCTGCCCATGGCATTAACATGAAGACCCTGGTAAGCAGGCCCGTTTATGATGATTCTGACTCTCACACACTTGGCTTCTAATATTCCCTCCCGTTTCTTAAGTGCTGTGTCCAATCACAGAGAAGTTAAGGCTAAACTCATTCCCCCGAGGAGAGATACCGACATCGTTCATTAAGTAGATTTTGCTTCTGAAAGAATAGAAGGCAAATGCTTAATTATGTCATAATGACGATTATTCACCCAATCAAAATGACTCCCTCCTTCCACCTCTAAATTAGGTCACTAGAATCATCAGACGGCATGCCAATTGCAGTTCACTATGGCGATGCACGTTATTAGGCCATGGCAGATGAACTGGCGCATGTGAGAGAAATTCAAGAAGGAAAATGTCGCTACTTTATTGAGTCCTGACAATCCAGCAGAATTCATGTCCACCTGGAAGATGGAAAGCACGGTTCCAGTTTTTCACGTCAAAGAGAAGGAGAAGAAGAAGAATGCACGGCTTCCCGAGATTAGAACCCGAGGTGCACATGTCAAGAGAATTTCCTGGTAATGGAGAGCCAGGCTTGCTCTCTCACATGGCTCACTGACCTTACGCAACCAAGGAACAAAGAAAAACCTTCGATTGTCGTCTCGAATCCAACTCCGTAATTAGTATAGATTCCATAGCAGTACTGTTTCCGAGTGTATCATCCATGATACCGTTTTTTATAATTAAATATTAAATATTGTCATGCGTATTATTATACAGAGAGCGTTGGGCAAATGTAATCTTATATGGATCATACGACTCAGGCATGCTCGAGGGATATACATATTATTTAATCAGATAATTGTGATGTATCATGTGCCATATAGGATGCATGTATCGTATAAGATGCTATTATCGCCTATCTCTATCCTACGCGCTAGGTCATTCCTTTTACCAATTTATGTACATTCATTTCCATAATGCTATTTTATTCGTTTACTTTTATGAAATTCAAATTTATATTCAAATCGAGATTTATGGACTAGAAATATCCCAGGTACAGTTTGAACATGTATTAAAACTTATCACAACGTGGGTCAAAACTCCAAATATCCCAACAATAATGAGACATATAAATCGGCTGCTTTGGTGACTGTAGATGGAGATGGATCGAGATGATTTTACTAAATAGTAAAAGTGTAAACAACTTCCATTAAGTTTCCACACTCATCATGCGTTACTAAAGTGTTATGTTTAATGAGTACGGAAAATTTAAACACTGAATAAGTTGGTATATATGACAGGCATAACTCTTTTGAGTATATCCGCCCCATTTGTGTAATTTGATGCGGTGTACACAAAATGGGAGTGAACACGAAAGGAAACTCAAATGCGTAGACTGTAATATACACTAATCACGGATTTGTTATCTCGGAGTTGTGCATGGGTGCACCAATTAGAAAATCTAGGAGATCCTGAGAATCTGGCCAGTCTAAACCTCTTGTCAGATTTCCATTTTTTTGAAGCGAGGATACACTCTTGCTGTATATTTTGTAAGGGAAAACAAGGATATTGTCTAGGGGCAAATGCACTTACAGGACTCGCCTAGTGCCGTCCAAGGTATTGTGTGCGGATACATCCAAGTGCATAGTTGTGCGCCAAGGAATTGTGAACCTATCTTATCGCCTTGGGTACCTATCTAGTCCATCCGCCGACACCTGCATTGAGCCTTGGCCTGGGCAAAGGAAATTCTCTCATCCTGAGGCTCGCAAAGGAAGGTCCTTGGTGGACCAGAGCACCGTCGTTTAGGAGTAAAGGTAGAACGCGCTCTTCAGTCTAGGTAGAGGTCACTTTCGCCGAGTCTCAGGCCCCACAGATGCACAAGGAAATAACATGAGTGTGTCAAATAAATCCCATTGCCATTTGTGCATCTTCGTTTTGAACCCTGCTAAACCTCGCTCGTAAATAAAACCATTTTAAATTTCAAATTAAACCCCTCATTCGATTCACCTCCACCTCGCACGGCGCAGCTCGAGAGAGTGAGAAGAAGAGGGAGCGGCTCCGGTAGACGGGAGGGCAGGGCAGGGCAGGGCAGGGCTGGGCAGGGGAGGGGAGGCAGAGTCGGGTGCTTTATTTAGCACCGAAGAAGAGGCGGAGCGGACCGATGCGGTCGGACAATGATGGAGGTTCCTGTTGAGGCGCCACAGTCCACGCCTGGAGAGATGCAGGCGCTTGAGAGCAGGAGGACAGCGAAGGAAGACGCCGGGAAGGACGACGCTGCCCGGCCCTGCCCGGCCCGACCTCGCTCGCTCGGCTTTTTGTTCTTGCTGGGCTACTTTCTCGTCTCGTGGCCGTAGAAGTGCCGGTGAACTGCAACCCAAGGACGACGAGAGCGACGAGAGCGACGGGAGCGCCGAGATGGAGATCGAGAGCAGTGACGGATGTACTGACGGCCGAATCCGTGATACGGGAGTGACGACCGAGGCTCTCTCGGCTCTACAGTATACGAGCCTGCTTGCCTGCCTGCCTCTCGGTGCAGGGTATTGTACGAACCGAGGCGCAAAAGAGGTCTTCTACAGCACAGGTTTTTCGGCAGAGACGAATCCAGAGGATCTTCCGCCCTTTAAGGGGTCGCGCCTGGGAGCTGGATCAGCTTAACCGATCGATCCACTGCCGTCGGGGGCGAATTGCAGTGTGGATATCGACCGCGAAATTCCTGGGGGAGGGTGGTTTCACGAAGGCTTTGGCCTATTCGGCCGTAATGGATCCACCAGCCGATCCAAATTGAGCTTAGGACAAACGCACTGAAGGGTCGAATCACAGTGCCTCCCAACAGTAAATGGTTAGACATAAGTACGAACAAATTGCCATACCTGGGAGGCCTGCTCTGGCTCTGCTGCTGAGGGCAATACCGGTAGCGTAGGCCCTGAAACCTGGCGTCTGTCGCGGACGAGCGAGGACGGGCGTTCGCTTCGCCCATAGCCAAATCCTCCCCCGTTTCCCGGCTGCGCCCGGCGCGTTCTTCGGCTCGTTCCGTTACTCTACGTTCCGGGCAGCGGCGGTACAGGGGCTGGCCATTTTATCCACACTGTGGTGCAGAGCGAGATCGCGAACGCAGAACGAGGACTCCATAGCCGCATCGGTCCGTATTACGTCAGAGATGAAAAGCAGGATTCTCACTCGCGACAGTACAGGCGGAGCTGACTGCTCATAGCAGGTCGTGCATGCGGCCGCGACCGGGTGCCGGCGGTCGCCTCGGCCGCATTGATTCCGGTCCGAAATGCGGGGGTGACGAGCCGAAAAGCCTCCGCTGCCAGTGATGCAATATTGGGGCCGGGATGTTATGTTGAGTGCGAGTTCTGGGTCCGGGCATCGCTCTTTAGGCGCAGGCATCTTGCTTTGTCGATAGGGTGGCGGTGCAGAGCAGCTGGCCTTTCAGTGTAGATAAAAGGAAGGAAGGAGCGAAGGACGATGGAGATTCAATTTTCGGAAAGACGCCTTCATGCACTGCGGGGGAGTTAATTGCTCGGAGGGCAACGCAGTTTCCCACGAAAGTTCGGCCTGGCACATTCCTGGTTCCAGAAGAAAATTGACCACATATCAAATTAGAAGGCTGGGTATATCGGGCGATGGCCACCTCATATTTTGCCCCAAGTCGTACCGTCAGCTCAGCCTTGATAAAAGCTCCGCAGAACCATCTGCTACGGGAGCGTCAGATGGGGATTTGCGGTGTGAAGGCTGAGATAAATAAAATCCAATGAACTTGGGGGTTCGTCCTGTTGGATGGTCGAGCCGAAATATGTGGTCGCTCCTCTTCTTTTCCAGTGTCATCTTCGGGTTTCATTAAAGTAGATTTTTGTTTGACATTGTCCTCATCCATGGAGGTTGATGCATTGACTTGCCAAACATAACTGACATCACGTGAAGTGACATGTATCTCCCTAACATCAGAAAAGCGTTCTAAACTTGAAAGAAGTATGGGTTAATTTAGACGGGTTAGCATGGGTCACGAAAGTCAGCTCAGCATGACAATCCAGACTAAAGTTGAAGACATTATGCGTGAATGTAGATGAATGCCTGAACTTATCGAAGTCAACTCTCCTAGATAATATTAGCGTCCTGAATATGAAAGGTGATCCGGAGATTATGCAAGTGTAGCAATTGCAAAAACTCGACGGAGGATAAAGTCCTTTTCTCTGATTTCAAAGCTCTGTACATGTCCATCTCAAATTGTATCGAAAGATTAGTTACCGCCCAGAAGCTCCATAGAGACCGAAGCCTGTCAGCTCGACAGCTACCGATACTTGGAAAGATTCTCGGCCCAGAAGAATTTATGAGTTTTGAACCCTCAGTCAAACTCCCCCTGAGCACTGCCTGTCCAGAACAGTTACCGGTGGCAGGCAGGCAGGTGGCTTCAGATACCGGCAGGCCTGAGGAAAGTTCAGAAGGGAAAGACAAAGGGTTCTGCACAGTTAACAAGCTTTAGAATGACAGTTAGCGGTCATGCGGTAGTGCGCGGAGCCAACTTGGTCCAGAAAGCTTTCAGCAAGGCAGTGAGATGACATTCTCCATGAAGAGTCAACCTGAGTAAACGACCACCGCCAATGATGCATCACGTTTCACGAAGGGCATGTCAGGATAAACCAACCCGGGTAGGTCGCAAGTATGACACTCAGTTACCTTGTGTGGGCTGAACTGGTTAGGAACACTGAGAGAGAAAATTAAGATATCACACAAGGATATTTTTATTACGTTCGAGTTGCGGAGTGAAAAACTTCATAAGCTTGATCAGGGGACGAGATGCGTCGAGCGAAGCTGAGGAATGACGCTGTGAACTAAGCAGTACAGTGTAGAAGGTAGTAGAAGGTACAGTGTAGCGAACATGCCAGTCATTTTAGCTCGAGTTGCATTTAGCTGCAGTTTCAGTAGTTAGCGGATGCAATCCATTTCCTATTTCCGTTCGCCAGTGAATTTGAAGGTCGATGCAGCAAGAAGGGTAGAACACCAAAAACCAGAAATAAAATGTTGAGCTGATATAGATTGAGGGTAAAGAACAGGAAAGAATACATGGTTTGGTCAAAACAGACCACGATCAAGAAAGTGGAAATCTAAGTTTGGAGGTGAAGTTTGACGAGACTTTTTTCCTTGATAGTCACCAAGGCTCAAGGAAAAGTTTGAATTCAGAGTTGAGGAAGAGTGAGTAGTTGCCTGATGGATCAAAATTTGGCACCAAGATAGAGCTATCCCCCGCCGAGAGCAATTTCGTAGTACATGGTATCTAGTTCCTTCTTCCAAGTGGCAAAGTCTCCACTATGAAGACTCGTCATCTTTTGAAGTGCCCATGTCGATTAGATCCAAGTTGAGTGAAGAAATAAAATGTAGTGCAGTGTAAAGGGGATGGTGTAGTCAAGTTAGAGGGTGTAGGGCCAGATGTAGATGTGTCTCCAACCTTTTCATACCTGTGGAGGAATTCAACGCCAACACAGTGAGTCTTTTCCTTTGGAGATTGCTTTCTTCGCCATGAAAGAAATTGAATTTGGTGGGGCACTGGTCAATCCGCCATCCCGGTTTCAGAATTGAATTCTCACGGAAAGGCAGGGCCGACTTTACCGCCCATCTGGACCCAGCAGAGCTCAACCTGGGAAATTCGACACCCGACCCGAGCTCCATCCGTGTCTGCATCTATACCGGTGTCTGAGCGGAATGTGGAAATACCTAACGTTCAGACCACAGTCGCGGTCATGTCATGGACCGCGTCAGACGGAGAGTCATCACCAACCCAGTCACGGTGAGTAGTCCTCGACTACAGTACAGCTCAGCGCAGCACATGAGATCGGGGTTCATGTGTTGGGTCGTAGGCTGTAGGCTGCACAGAGCGCAGAGAGCAGAGAGCAGAGCAGAGAGCTGAGCAGGAGTAGGAGCGGTAGGAGTTGACGGGACGAAGACATGTGTTGGAGATGGACATTCGAAAACGACAGCAGAGGTCGAGGTGGGGGGATGGGAACATCCACTGCGGTCCGTGGGTGCAATCTCCATCGTGTGTTTTGGTAGGACTTCGGCATCCGTGAGAAAGTGCGTCTGGGCAGCATGGGGAGCGTGAGTGCTCTCTGCAATGCCCAGCGGAGGCCGGTCACAATTGCAGGGCCGTTCTGATCGCGACCCTCAGTCCGTCCGTCCGTCCGTCCGCCCGCCCGGGCTCGCTGCTGCTGCAGCAGCTGCCGTCCTCAGTTGCTCAGTGCCTGACTTGTGCCTGGCGCAGAGAGGGGCGCTTCTTGTGCCAGCATTGACAGGATGGGAAGAAATAGCGTTGACGCGTCGACGCGGAAGTTGAGCCCGCAGCTTCGCGGCAGCAGTGGCTTGTCTTTCGGAGGAAATATCGTCAACGCTAGCATTCATGATTCTCTCCGTCGTCACTGTGATCTTCGTTATCATTCAATTTTATTGCCTGCAACTCTTCTGGGCAACACGCGCTCTGCACTGCCCTGCAGCCGGGCCCCTTTCGGCCCGGCCCACATCCAGCCACTGTAGTGTAGAAGCATATAGACCCTGGGACCTGGGAGTTGGGGCCGATGCTCCTATGGGGGACAGACAGACCGAAAGGACAGACGTGCGTCCCCCGAGTCCCGACTTGTTCTTCCCCCGGCACAAGTCCTTTCCTTGGGCGCCGGGCGGCAGTGGTCACTCACTGCTCCGGTAGCTGCACCTCCAGGCTCTGAACCCACTCCCCACCCGACCCAGATGCTCCTCGACGGCATTTTCGAGCCCATATCTGCCTCCATCGGCGTGTTCTCTCGTCTGGAGAGGCCTCGAGAGTAGAGCGGCATCGATCAGGACTCTAGTCCAGTCTAGTCTACTCGCGTGGGGTTGATTTCCGGCATCATGTCCACTATGAGTGCCGAGCATAGGTCGAAACAGTTACCTCATCAGGCTTTTGTGGGTGTGGATCGACCCAGTCATGCATCGGAGCACTCAATCAACGCCAGTTCGGTCAGTCAGGAGATCGCAAAAGTCAGTGTGCGGTGCTCCGGTGCTATTCTACGGCACGCCCGGTTGCCACTTCTGATTGCCCGTTCATGCCCCGACTGCTCACGGACTGGCCAGTGCTACTGCTTGCCCTCCCCGTGCCTGTCCCACCCTGTGCCCACCCGCTGCCCGGGTTTCCATGTGCGTGGATCAGGTCTCCTCAATCAGTCAGTCGGACCCTCAAGTTCGAAACTCAAGACTGCGGCAAGGAAAATCACTCGGGACGAGTATTTTTGTGCATACACCTGGAAGGCATTTGTCATTATTTTTGGGACGCCGCAATTTACTGTTTTATGTTACAGAGCAAGGATTCTCTAAGCTGTTGGAAATATTCAACTAGACCAGAAAATTTCCTCCGCACGAATGGTTCGACTATGGAGATCCTTCGCTTTGCTTGGATCCGGAGAAGCGTTGTGAAATTGAAAAATTGACCTGAACGAAGCACGTGAGGATGAGCACCATCTGGACGACTAATTTATATAATGGTCGTCGATTCAGCATCTTCCTGACAACAAATGCGAACCTGGTCCGCTACCTAGCACCCAAGACTGTGTACGAAGCCGGAGATGCTCCAAGTCATTGAACTCCTGGCCTCCAATGAATCCAATCGACTCCGGAGTCTGGTGGCCAAGGGTCGGCCCTTAAGTGTTTGCATCAAGACATTAAATAATTCGAAGGAAATGACCTTCATAGTCACTTATGCGACGTTACTGAAACCCTCCGCCTAGTGCATGTACTATCGTGGATCGGCCCGTCCTTGTGAGGGCAGCGCATTTACAAGGCCAGGAGCCTTTCAAGGAAGAAGACCACGGCAAGTTCCCAGCCGCAAGCTTTTCCAATTTTATATATGAGATGATAAGAGCCCCCTCCTAAATCTGCATGTGCGGTGTTTCTTCAGAACCATATTGCATTAGTGCAAGGACCACAGTTCAGCATGTTGACGTGATGAGAGGACCGAGCGAGCCGGTACAGAGGCAGCGGAACAATGCATGGAGCTCAGCATTGACTACAGCGAAGCCAGAGGCTGCTGCCGAGTCCCGACGGCCCAGGAAGAAGAAAGCCGGGGAAAGAAAACTTGGCTCACGTACATCCTCGCAGGAGCAATGCTGCTGCCAGTAGCACTGGCACTGGCACGCAGAATCGGGGGCTTCGACCACCGGGTCGTGGGATTTGGGGTTGTACTGCGGTTGTCTGGCTGGGTAGACCGTGGATGGATGTGGATGGGGGTTCGCCGTATAGCGTGAGGACGACGAGAACATGGTGTAAGTGACACAGAGATATGAAATCCGGATGACCATATCTTTCAGATAACCGGGTACTGAATCATATCGTCAAATGTTGTACTTGGTCAGTTATGGAAAATTACTTCACTGTAACCCGTACGCCGTAAAGTGTTAATGTGCATTGCCGACCGGAGTCGGCACGCAGTAGGTCGAGACGGTGAACACTGCACTACGCAGTACGTACAGGAGTGAGGAGAAATTCAGCCTGGGATTGCAGCAGAACGAGCACGAACGTGACTGACGCGTGGACTCGGGGATCATAAATGCGACTGTGCGCGAGTTTTTGATTGATTCGAGCAGTCTTGATTGACTACTTATTCGTTAATTCACGGCCTATGGACGTTTTCCATGGCCCATTTCTTGGAAAGCGGAAGCCATCTTCTTAGTGTCAAGAGAAAGCATGGAAGGGTATAATAAGAAGGAAGGTATCACTGTTGGTTCTGGTTCTGCTGAAGTGACTGCGGCCTGACTGACTCCAAGTACAACAACAGCAGCAGGACGCAGGGGACTCGAGGGGAAGTGGACGTACTTCTTCTGAATGACGGACGGACTGACTGCGTGTTCTAGAACCAGGGCAGGACCCTGGTTTTAAAGTATTGTCTCGAGCATGCTAGCATTTCGTGTGCGCCTGGGGTTGGGATGCCGGTTGCAACAGCAGCCTCAAAAGTGATCCTCATGACCCACTGACTGCTGAGCTGAGCTGAGCAGAACGACTGACTCGATTCTGCAGCGGTGATTCAGCATCATTATTCGCCCCTTTCGTTCACCCTCGGCTCACCGAAATCATGAAGCTCACTGGTGATCCAAGCAATGCAAAGCAAAGCCCATCTGATCAAAGCCACACTCATCCGTGCTGTTGTTGGCCTTTTGGGTAACCGGCCTCGCTTGCAACGCAGATGCAAGAACAAAACCAACAGTCGGTCCACTGCTCCCGTCTCAGTCTTACAAAAGCTGGAACCTCAAGCGTTGTTGCGTCACCTTGCTGTCCCTTAACAGTTGTCTTTTCGGGTCTAATTGTCAATCTCTGTAATTTTCAGCACCGCCTTTGCTCTTGTAGGCAGTTTCTGTGAACTCTGATTCAACCAGCTAACTTCCCGTTGAGACTTTTCACAAAAGAAAGCGACTGCAATGAAGAACTCACTCAATGTAAGTATAGCTTTACCACGGAGCAACTTATCCCATGGCCAGTCCTTCAGTTCTCTTTTTCGCCCCCACTTTCTTCTTGTTCCTTAAAGTGGTAATAACGCTGAGGAACTTGTAACGCCTCCCTCCGTCATCCCCTCACCCCCACCTCAATTTCCTACAAAGCATGCTAGCGAGTCTAAGAGGAAGATATTGGCCTTAAGTTGTGCTTAGCCTCAACTCATCAGATAATAGATTGGATCAACACATGTTGATTATGTCTATTCTCTTCGTACACCTGCTTTGAGCTTGACATGTTACATCATTTCTTTTCGTGATGTCATAACCACCCCAATCTGGCTGGTGCTATGGCCATCTAAGTGTTATCACAAGCCTAGGTGCTGTATATACTTTCTAGACTCAAGCTAACTTAGGCTAGCCAAAATACAATACTAGAGAAATCATACACACAGCCATTGCTGCTACTGCTACGCCACACGCTACTGTGACATCTACCTCGACGCGGCAGACCATTCTGCTTACTGCAAGGAGGGACAGGTCAACTACTAGAAATTAGACGAAACTGGATCTCCTCCGTATCTGTCCAACCGGTATTAATATATTATTTCATTGGCGTTTCTAGTCATCCCTGAATCGAATAAGAGGACAAGCAAAAAGGCTCCTGTTCATCGGGAGACTAAGCTTGACTGGAACTTTACTACATATCATACGTCTTCGGTGCTCCATTTACACAGGTGCATAAAATCATTACAGTATTCCGAACTCTCAACTCTGCTACATTAATGGCCGCACACTTACAGTTGAACAGCCAGACCACTGCTTGGACCTTCTCAGGTGTGGAAAACCTTGGAACACTTCTGATGCATGGAACTCCATATGAACTATTGGAGCGTGACCAAATTTGCTTGAAAACTAACATCGTAGCCTTAGACTAGCATCGGTATCAATGGTCCCAAAGACCATACCACCATGTGAAATGTGAAGTACTAGCCAACCGCGAGATTTTTGCTAAGTCGCTTCGGCCTAAACTTGGTGGCTGATTTAGTCTGTAAAGTGTGTTTTGCAAAAACTCCTTTATCCTTACATAGAATAAATAGAGAAACGGGTGTAAGATAATCGCCCAACAAATAATGTTTTTAGATCAGTGATAATTTTTCTCTTATTGTCAGCACAATATATATATATGTCAAATGTTGTTACGGTAAACATGATTGCGCTCTATCTTTGAAAAGTCTTATCACAGTTCGTCTTTCCGGAGAGTGAAGCTCACGCATCGTTATCGTTATCACAGGAGCTCACTCTTAGTTATTGTTCAGCTGTAAATATCTCAAATTCCAAAATTTTGTCTACTTGTCTTTGAACAACAGATGTCAGGAAAGCTCAATCCTAGAAAAAATGAAAATGTATTGCTTATACATCAGTACTCTATCTGCAACGCCTCGAGTAGTCTGCTCGTTGCCTTGCTTTTCGATCTTTGACCACCGGTGTTTCTCAACTCTAAGAAGATGTTTTTTACTGTCTCAAAAAGGTAGTATGTGCAGTACGATGCGAACACCATCACATTGGCCTAACATAAGACTGTTACAGAACCTTTCCAGAACTTCCATTGTGCACAATGGAAGTTTCTTAGTCCCCGAAAGGTGGAGCGACAAAAATGGGGATGAACGTGCCTTTGAACAGGGAAATTATTTCATGTGAGAATAGCAATGTACTTCAGTTATCACATGTTGACGGGAATAGATTTACGGAAATGACCTCTTGTCGCCGGCGTACGTCCGTAATTCCAGAGGGCAAGACGTGATGCCTAGGGTTCTTTCTTGAACCCTTTTGAAAGTACCAACAATTATTTTACTATGAGAACGACCAATCGACGCTGTTGGAGTTCTGGGGAAACTACGTCTGTCCAGTGCCTTAGTATGATGCGAATTGAAGTCATTCTTGTGAGACGTCAAAGACACATGTGACAGATTATTGCAAGTCAAATAAAGAGGGGCACAGAGGGACCTTGTAGGCTTCTCGTAGATCACGATGTACTCCTAGTCAGGGAAGGGAACAGCAATAAACTAATGTATGTGGCCAACATGATGGTTTCCTTCTGTCTACACATTTGGAAACATTAACAATGTCTACACCTCCTTGCAGCTGCAATGTTATCCAACATGTATATTGTGGGCACAGACGAATTAATGAGGCCTTCAAGCATAGCGAAAAAGGATAGCATGAAGTAAAAGAAAAAGGATGTTAACGTGCAACTGATCATTCTTAGAGTCTTCAAGCTACGGAGCCGTAAAGCACTGGCAAAGAGAAATGAGTTTCCATATTCCACTCCTTTCGCCATCATCTTTTTCGTCTCTTTTGTTATTCCCGAGAGATTGTACAAACGGGAAGTTGTGGCCAAAGATTTCAACAGTTGCCAAAAGAGACCATCTTCTCGTCTACAGGAGCGCTTGTCGTTTGTCTGTCCAGAACGGAAGCTGTTGATAACTTTCTTCTATTTCCAGGAATCACAAGAAACCATTTGCAACACTTCTCAACAAAGACCATCTCCGGAATTTCACCCTGTTGAAACTCGATAAGTTTGGCATCCTTAGCCCTCCCACTCATAAATCTCTCTCTCTCTCTCCCCTACCCCCTCCACCCCCACTCCCCCTCTGAACTTCAACAAGAAACTGGAATGGCACTTTTCTCTCCCGTTCGTCGCCCAGTCACTTGGCGGGCACGTCTATAGCAAAACTTCCGCAAATCCCAATCCGTTTGTGATTTGTGTACACCAAGGGTTAGTGTCATCAAGGCTCACATCGCCTCGCTCCCTCCTCGCTCTCAATCCCGCAAAACAGTGCCCTACGAGCAAACCAATCAGCCAACACGCACACACCCCATCAATAATACCACATCTACAGTTGTATTATTCATTATTCACCCCTCACTCACTCACAAGCAGCCTGCTTACAATCGACCCCATCTGCATGCATGTTCTTTCATCATCATCGCCACTTTGCTCTCGCACACTCCAATCACATCCCGGGGAAATGCTTTCCTCCATTTAAGACCCCGCTCATTAACCTCCTCCCTTGCCCACAATTCATTCGATTGCTGCTTGCACTCGTTTCGAAAGTGCTATCTTCTGGTCATGAGCTTTTGGGGTTTTGAATCTTGACTTGCAGATCTCGCCCAAGTTCATTCCTGCCATCTTTAGCGGCTTTCCTGCTGACAAGCCACAGGAGCCACATTCTCCCGATCATAGATGCGGCGTAGTCCTACCAAATTTAATGGTCCGCGGCAAGCAATGTCTCACTTATGTTTAGATCACGCCCTCCTTTATTTTAGCAACACTGTATGACGGAAACGAGAGACCCCGATTTATTGGTGTATTGCAGATGGCCAGCCACCATCGCCTGAAGTGGGACGATCGAAAGTCAAAATCCCCTTGCTTCTCCATCCCTCCGGAATCCGGGGTGCAATTCCACACTAGCTCACTGGATAAAGCCAGTTAAACCTCGGCTTTTTAGTTTGTGTCAGCTTCGCTTAGCGCCGGAGCCTCGGGCCTGAAAGTGAGGCAGGATGGGTGAGAGCGATCCGGTAGTGATTGTGTTCTGATCGCGTACCCGGTGGGTGCTGTTTACTACTACTCGCCACGGATTCGCTTTTACTGGCCGGGCGGCCCTTGACGAGCTCGGTTCCGGCGAAACTGCTGCACGCGGTGCAACTGGAGCACTCGAATGAGTCCGAGGCGATGATAGAGACGAGATGGAAGAAGGCCCGTTGCGCACCCCGAATCCCCGCGACTCCGCGAGACGGGACTCCCCCCTCCCCCCCCCCCCCCCCCCCATTCAATTCGATCACCTCCTCCACGTTTAAGGTTAAAAGGGGTGAAAAGGACGCTCGACACGTGTCAGGTTTTGGACTATTTTGTAATGCCTTGGGAAACGCAAGTCAACGTAGTCCTCTCCGCCCCCCACCCGGCCCGCGCGCCGCCGAGACGAAATGATAAATCCCCGGCCGGAGCCCCGATGTCCCGAAGACGTAACCCATCGGGTTAGCGGATGCGGGAGAGAAAAGACACCAACACGGTTAGTGACCGACAGCAGCGCAGTCTTCGGTGCTCGGCCGAGCCCCAATGGGAGGCGGCCACGTATTCCCGGATACCCGGCACGTGGAAAGTCGAGGTGCATCACATTGACGCGCGGGGCTTCACATTAGCACCTCGAGGGCTCTAACGGAACCGGTTCGGGTCGCCTGTGCCGGATTAACATGGTTGAGTGAGCAGCGTATTATCCGAACATTAGCCTCGCACTGCCCTCGGACTGCCCTCGGACGATCCGACCAGATAGCCGGACTCCAATGTGGCATCGTGACGTGGCGCGGATCGGACGGCGGAGGGCGCCCGGGGGTTGACTCCAGATTTCTATTCCTGTTATGTTCAGCGGAGGTGGCTATTAGAGGAAAGCGGACGCGAGAAAAGGTCATGATTGGACGGTTCCCCGGTAAGCCAAGGTAAAACCGAGCGAGCGAGGGCCGAAGAGCGACATTATAGAGAGCGCAAGGAGGGCGGGCAGAGGGGGCCAAGCAGCCGAACAGTGCTCTGGAAGAAGACGAGCGGAGGAGAAAGGGAAAGAGCGATGGAGAAAGCAGTTGCTGCGCGGAGCTAGAGTGTCCGTATCAGTAGACCGGACCAGACCAGTCCAGTGCAGCCCGGCTCCAGTCAAGACACCATCTAAGGCACAAAAGAGACGAGAACGCACAATCAGTTCTCCTTTCTCGCATCTCATCTGCAGCGGAAGCCGAACAAGTACAGGACCCGAGTCTCTTGCGAATCCTTTGGCAGATCGTTCACCACATCTCTCTTATATTTGCCGTTGCTGCCGCGCTGCAACTGAAATACTACTATCTACTATCTACAACGACCACACTGCTTCCTCTTCTTCTGCTACTGGTTCTAGCCTTCTCTTCTCCTCTCTCCTCTCGGGCGACACGACACAAGTACAAACGGGGCTGGACTCCTCACAAACTCCCAACACCAACACCAACGCACAGAAACATCAGACAGACCCCACTCAAGCACGCAACGCCACGCAACGCGCGCACTTGCACAGAGGGAGGAAGGTCTGAGCCCAGACAAACAGCGGACAGACAGACACACAATCGAAAGAGATTGAGCCATGGGGAGAGCGCCTTGCTGCGATAAGCAGGGGTTGAAGAAAGGGCCTTGGACGCCGGACGAGGATCAGAAGCTGGTCGCTTACATCCAGCGCCATGGGCATGGGAGCTGGCGGGCACTTCCAAAACATGCGGGTACGAGGTTTTGCGCCGAGGCAGATGCTTTGATTTTGTACTTGATCTTGGAGCATCTGCCAATGGGGTTTTCCGTGCCTAGCGTCAATGTTGGTCAATTGACCGGAGTTGTGTGTGATCAAAATTGCAGGGCTTTTGCGTTGTGGGAAGAGCTGTCGCTTGAGGTGGACGAACTATCTGAGGCCCGATATTAAGAGAGGGCGTTTCTCTCTCGACGAAGAACAGCTCATCATTCACCTGCACGCAATTCTCGGCAATCGGTAAAGATCTGTCCCCCCCGCCCCCATTTGAATCGCGCTTTGAACCCTACGAATGTGGTTGCAATTGGTGCCTGCCTGAAAGGTCCGGCGAGGTCTAACGTAAGATCCTGTGAAACTGTGCAGATGGTCTGCGATTGCCGCTCACCTGGCCGGTCGCACGGACAACGAGATCAAAAACTACTGGAACACGCACCTGAAGAAGCGACTGCTGCATATGGGCATCGACCCTGTCACTCACAAAGCCACGCAGTCACCACCGCTCTTGTGCTCCAAGTTGAGTCATCTGGCGCAGTGGGACAGTGCGCGCTTGGAGGCCGAAGCCCGGCTGGCGCGCCGCACCTCGCCGGACAGTTTTTTGCGCTCGTGGAAAGCGCAAGCCAGCGGGCCCTTGCGCAGCGATCTGCCCTCGGTGCAGCTGCCATCGTTCGTGCAGCACTGGGAGCCATCGATGCAGTCGCAACTGACCTCGAACGAGTTCAGCAGAAGCTCCACAGCCACGTCGTCTCCCACGGCCTCGTCGTTGGACTTCGATTCAGCGGGCGCGGCGCTTCTGCTCAATCACTTATCGTCCATGTCGGGGGCGAACACCACACAAATAAATCACATGGAAACCTTGATGTCGCCCACATCCACTCTGCGTCCGTTCGACGGGCAAGACAGCTCTTACAGCTCGCCGGACAGCATGGTAAACGGAGAAGCGCTGCTGCAATGCGAGAGGCTCATCCAAAACAGCAGCAGCACGGCGGTGACGTCGTTCCCGAGCCTCATGTCGGAGAGCTCCATGTTTCCGAGCAATGGAGGGTTCGTGGACGAGGGCGTGAACCCGCCCACGTCCTTGTGGCAGCAACCGCTGGTGCAACTGGACTCGGCAATTCCGTCGGTGAGCGACGGGCGCAGCTGCAGCGTTCTGAGCGAGGACGAGAGCAGCAGCAGCTACGGCTCGCTGCTGCCGCCGGAAATGCTGCTGGATCTGGTCGACAGTGCCATGGCGTCGAACAAATCTGAACCCTCGGTAGGCAGCTGGCCCGATGTGGGCCAAATGGCCAGCAAAGATTACTGGAGTAATATGCTGAAGCTCGTAGGGCCGCCGTGCCAGGAGATGCCCGTGGCCGTCATGGAGCGCTGAACGCCCGGTCGGACTTCTGAGCTGGGCATCGGCTACGACTCCATGGGACGTTAAGAACCCATTCGGCTTCACACATACAGCGTAGAGTAGTATTGGGGAGATCGCGAAAGAGGTGCCCAGGCCAGAAGTTGTCGAGGATGACGATCACCATCGTAGCTAGTTCGTTAATGTTAGGATCTGGTAGTTTCTATTTGCTACTTAGGTCTCGCGCTGGCACGCGACCTACGAGTCATACTTAGAAAACTCATTTTCAGATGTCATAGTAGCTCGACCCGATTTGTGGGCGCGCAGCGCAGTCTACAGTGCACAATCCGCGCTAAGTCCGGAATCCGCGAGCACTGCCTGCCGCTGCTCTTCTTTCAACTTTCGTCTGCGGCAGGCCTTATTGTACAGCGCAAGGTCCAGTGCAGCTTCTTTCGAGCGCCCCCGTGCTGGCGGGGTCCCGACATTCGCCGAAGGGAGTTTGCAGAGGGCCGGAGGACCGCGGAACACTGCGACGAGAAGATCACTTTTTTGTACAGTGATATGCAGCAGCAGCAGCAGCAGCAGTCGTACCCACAATTTTAACTTGCTGGACTTCTACTAGGGGATGTTGTTTCGGGGTGGGCTGTTGCCTGACGATGGCCGTGCAGTATTGACATCCGATTGCTGAATAAACGGGAGCGGACATGGTCGGGGGATCGCGCCCCGACCGACCTCTGGGCGGGTGGCAGGGCTTTGAGATCCGCGTAGCGGCGTGATCTCAAGCCACTCGGACCAGCATGTTCGCTGCGAGTATAGAGATGGGTACAAAGTCACATCGGGGAACTAGAGTTTTTGGGGAAAAGTGCTCGGCCGAATCCTTGATCAGGACGCCTCCGTTCGTCCTCCGCAGACTGCTGGCTTCCTCAACTTCGAACTTCGAAAGGCCATGCGTTTCCATCATGCAGTCCCCTTATCCCCTCAAATCATATTTCGGAAGACTAGACTTCAAATCAAGAATCCACTAGTGTACGAGCTTTGTTGACATTGCCATCTATATCTAGATTTGTCCACAGATGGCGTAAGCTCATCTGGCATTATCATTATTGTTATACGATTAAAGTGTTGTGAGCACTGCTCCAGAAATTTATCCGGACTCGGTTTCCAGATCTCTCTCTCTTCTCGCTCTCTTCACTTCCCGTTGCGAGTGCGGCTGTTTGTTTCGGTCCGTGCTTCTCCAGGGCCAGTGCAATTCGTTTCTGGATGTTGCACGGACCTCGCTCTCTACTCTTGATTCGTGTGACGCATGACAGCCTCCGTTGGTCAAAAGATTGGACAAAGTAGCGTGAAACTGCTGCCGATTCTGGAGCCATGCGTTCCATCAGCTGGTCTACGTCGGCTTTGACCCCATTTCTCATGCTCAGACTACGGTAGGTTTTCAGACTTCCATGCTCATCGCTGCCTGTGCTTACAGATCCCGCAAGCTCTCGAACGGGGTTGAATGAGAGCCGACAGATCCAGTGCGACCTCGTCTGGCAATGCAGTAACGCTTGGTATACCATGTGCATGTGGTCATTTCCTTATGCTGAGCATGCATGTGTTGGAGCACTGCGCTCGCTGCGGGCGAGCATGGAAGTTGTGAAGAACGCGGCGGTCAGCTGCAGGTCATACTTTTCCGTATGTACGTCCGCACCATAGCTTTGAAGATGTTCATGCAGTAAAGCAACCCGATTTCGAAACAAATAGTCTATAGATCTTGCCGGTCATCGCTTTTACTCCCGTGCTTCTACAGTGGGCAGTCAGTCGTACATTGAGCATGGGCGAGTTCATCAGAGTCCCAAAACCCGAGCACGGCTTAACTCTTCCGACACATCCGCAATTAGCAGAGAGGGCCTCACTCTCGAGTCGAAACCGAGTTCTAGCCCAACAATCAGAGTTCCGGACCTTCGGGCTTCCTACTGCCCGGCCGAGAGCAGAGGAAATTATTGGCCACACGTGGTTCGATCATCTTTTCGACCCACTTTGCCGCGACTTCTGCTCGATGCTCGATTATCGGGGCTTGAATGCTCCACTCTTGGAGGCTCCGCATCACGTCGGCACACTAGAGCTTTTCGTTCTCAAAGTTGTGTGGGATTCCGTTTCCGTGGTCACCGAGCCTCTGTGGTAAACGTTTGACACTGCCGTGGACTGACGCCCTTGGGGTGGAGAGGGTATGTCACTGAAACGATTCTCTTGGGGACGTCGCAAGGGCGGCAAGCTGGAACTTGCTCCTTTGTGCATGGAGAGAGATGAGTCCCAAAGACCACGCTGTCCCAGTCGGACGCAAGTGTCTGTCTAGACTTCCCTCCCTCAGATCTGGTATACTCAGCGAATCTTCTAACAACAAACATTTCGGTTTCACAGGTTTCGTCCGTCTCTGGGATTCCAAGAATCGGAATGGTTCAGTTAATCGGCAGTTCGGCCACGCGCCATGACTGTCCACTTCTGTCATACAAGTTCCGTGAAGATCACCGCTCCTGCATGTGACTGATATTGAAGGACATTTATACGGACGGACACACGTTATAACATACACATGGCGTGAACAATCTCTAGCGCACAACGTCGGCATCGAGATACACTTCTCAAAGCTGGTTACGACATCTCTTCGGTCTATGATGAAGTTTTTTTCATCGTAGAATGTAATTCTCGGGGATGGTTGAGAAAATTGGACGGGCCAGATGACCAATCCAGGGCGGTGTTGTAGTGCATGGAAGATACGACCAGAGGGTGAGGCATCTTCCACTGAGGTGTTGATAGTGAGGCATCCGCCTACTGCATGCAAAAAAAATTGCTTTAGCTTGAATACGAGATATGTCAGTTTTTGGTTTCCAGGATCAGCTTCGCTCGAATCAAAGCATTTATAGACTGATTGGAAAGACTTTGGCAGATGCAGCGTTTCTTGCCAAAAGCCTGTGTGTATGATAAGGTATGATTGGCATCTTGATAAGCCTACAAAAGCCTGACCCTCACTGCAATCAGTTTTTCTAGCATTTTATAGCAAAAGGAGGCAACAAACGTTGAATTCTTTCGTAATCCTTGATCAACATGATTGTAAACTTCGTGGAAATCGTAGATGGCCATGCAGTGCAGGCCAGGGAGAGAGATTGCACCGAGAGCCACTTGAGAACTCTACAAACCAATCACTACGCCCTGGATCCAAACCGAAGACGCCCATAGTCCCCCACCCCTTGGTTCCCTAGCACTGGTAGAGCAGTGCAAGAGCTAACGGTCCCCACTCTCATCTAGACGCCCCCAAAGCCCTGCTGCTTACCTCCTCATCGACTATAGTTTCTCCATAGATGCAGCCGGCAAACCGAAGGAATTAGAGTGCCAGGAGAGAAACACACTACGCTTGCTATCCACAGCACGGAAAGTTCAGTTCTTGGAGGGACATTACTATCTCATATTAGAGCACGCACGAGGCCCTTCTTACTTCCTCTCTCTTATACGTATACTCATTTTGTCTCGATACAACATAGAAACCCAAATACGTACATCAAAGCACCAAATCGCTGGCCAAATATGGCCTGGAAATGTCAGGTATTCAGACTCCCCTCGTGGACTGGTTTATTTCCCTCCTTAAATATGGAAAGAAAGATTCCGTCGCATATGGAAAACACCGTATTTATACGACGTTCTCTTTTGGAATATGATTGTTACTTCCAACAATACTCCCAGGGTATTTTGAATGCTAATATCCTTTTGGTCTGGTAAACCCATAGTGAATTCGAACCTCCCGTGAACAAAAACATCAGTCACTTATGTCTATCTCCGTTACGGGAGAAATACAATTATAACTGTCAGTACTACTATTTATTACTGTCAAAGACCCCACCATAAGAGTTCTGTAATTCAATTATTCAATATAAAATCTTTATTCCCTATGTTCCACCTCGTACTTTTGTCCTCGTGAGAAAACTTTGTAAGGTGGGCAGGCAGGAAGGCATGCAGTAGTTCTTACTCTACACTGCTGCTTCCTTCATTCTCATCATTCCCAGTAGAAGTCAAAGCATGTACTGGTATCCAGAATCAGCAATTGAGTCCCACCGCTCCTACTACCACCAGCTCAGTTCAGTCCAGTTCAATTCTCCGAGGCCACCATTGAATTTGATGCCATTTTCCACTCCGATCATGTGTAATGGCCTATCCCAAGCTGCACAGTTTCCGGAGAAAGCACACATTTTTTTAAACAATGCATCCAGATCATGAATCATAAGTATATTGATATATATTTCATACTTCTTCCAGAAGGAAGGAAGGGGACTGAAAGAAGAGCAAAACGTTACAAATTTCACATGTCAACATAGCAGGTCCTACACTGTCCGCAGTGTTCTGTAATCTATCTGATATCAGTCTTTCCCGTCGCATTCAGTGACGTCTTCTGACACTTTTCTGACACTCACGTGGAGACAAGCCACAATCGATCAACACGTATGTACTTGACAGTACGCACTCCAAGTGAGCATCACACAGTACATACTCCACAATGTACATTCATCTCAGGCACTGAGGTTTTGGTTCTTGTACCACCCGGTATCCGCTGGTGGCTGGTGCAGTGAGATTCCTGAGCCACAGCCATTAGCTCCTGCCGTGCTGTTACCAGATAGCTAGGGATGTAGCTAAATGAGTGCAAAAAAGTTCAGAAAAGTTGTCCTACAGTAATTGATGTATGATGTAGCTCGGGCTATTTCCCCACTCGAAATCAAACTCACTATCGCTACTGTGGGCAGGTATCGATTTCGCATCGGCAGCCCGAAAGGCTCCATCACAACCCGACCGACGAAAGGTGCCTATGTACAATACGTCAGGAGTTTTAACATTTATGGTTGCTTATGAAATTCCTCATTGTATTGCGTTGATGACGTGCCTTCTCCATGTATCTCGATTTCTGCCGATGGAGACGGTTAGATGCGAGGTCTATCGGAATGATTATAGTTTCCGGAGATTACCGAGGCACGCTGATCGGATAATGGGAACAATGCTCCAGACTAGGAGGATACTTTTCATTCTCCCGAATCCCACTCAAACCGCTCGCGGAAAGTGTCCTTTTAATCCTACTGTCGCCGAGAGTTCATGTAACCTACAGCAGTCACCGAAAAAGCGGAATGCCTGTAAGAGAAAAGCGATTGCATGTGAGTGAGTATTCTACTGATGTAACGTGCCTGCTGGGCACATTTCGAACTCCAAATGGTCCATTATGTGCACATACGGTACCGCGGTCTGTATGCTGGGATAGCGTCATTCTAGGCTGAAGCATAGTATTACTCAACTCCGGGCTCGAGATAGATTCCGTGGCCTATGTCCCTACGGAGAGATTCCTCAAGAAAATCAGCTACCGTAGTCACAGACTCACAGGGCCAACTTGTCCTGCTTGGGTTGGGCTAGGTTGGACCACCTGTTGGGTTTGCTCTCATGGAATCGGTGGAGGTAGGAAATATTAAAAATATAAGAAATATGTATATATATATATACGAAACTAACAACCTCCGTCTTCTGACAAACGCGGCATTCATCTGAAAGGTCCAACAGATTTCCAGTTCTCGTTCTGATGCAAAGATTTGCCAACTGTTTCTGCACATGTGATGTACGCACCAAGATTACTATCTCCTCTTTTGTCCGTTATGTCTTTTCTTGAAGGACTGAGCATATGTCAAAAGCTTCTCAATGACGACGTTTTCCTTCTGCGATTCACTAACGTATAGTTTACTTGACTGATCTTCACTACCATATGTATTCAGTGAGCTGATGCTCAGACTTCATTCACAGGGAAAAGAGAGAATTCCAATGAGGGTATTCAGTTCTCTGAAGCTCTCCCCTCTCGCAGATTTTATATACACATGTGTCCTGCCTTCTTAGGAATGTGAACCTTTACACACGTCAGATGCTGGAGGCTCCGTTAATCAAAACTGAGAAAATGATCAAAAACTCACCTACTCTACCCACAGAATTTAAAGATGTGAAAGTTGAAGGTTGGAAGCGGCGTTCTAGCGATAGGAATTATGGATGCTTCTACTGTAGGCTCCGCGGAAATGAAGACAACATGAACAAGAGATCTGATTTGAACACAATGTCTCCATGCCTCCCACATCACCTACATTCAGGGCGGCACCTGCTTGATTACACCTTTACTGTAATGATTTTCTTGATTCATGCTTGTGATGCACTTTCTCCCATTCATTGGTATTCCAATTTTTATGCCATTTCAAAGTGATTCTATTTATGGTTTCCAATCCACCACCTCGTTGAATCAGCTTTATCGGCGTAATATCTAATTTCCAGACCGCGGCTTTTCGCATTATGTAGAGTGATGATTTTCACTACTTCTGACAATCTTTCCTAAAATTGAGGATGACCCGACGGAAAATCCGGCAGCGTCCCAAATGCACATCACGATGACAATAATGTTCAAGTTCCAGATAGGAGGTCAGCATATTGCGTAAGAGATACCGTTTTTCCTTCCTTCAAAATCATGTGCCGAACATCTCAACTCGACTTCTAACAGTACTGCCACCGAAAATGTTTTCTGAATCATAGAAAGTGATTCGGTTTCCAAATAAACTGAAAGGAAAGGGAAGCGGGTGCGCGTGCGCGTGCGCGGATGGCGGGGATGCTGTTGTGTGGGAAGTGTGGCGGGCTCTCCTCATGGTTGCCGAGTCCCTATAATTGCAAGCAGAACCTACTCGATGGCGGGGCTGAAATTATTTCTGTAAACGAGTATGAGGTCGTTGACAGCCATCTTGTCTGAAATGTACCTCACACGAGCCCGACATCTTCTATTCAACTCCGTGAATCAATTAAAAGTCGGAGCCGAAGTAACCAACGACGATTTGGGCGGCATTTTCCTTACCTCACCTTTGATACTGGAGATTGCGGTATATATATGTAAACTCCAGAGTAACCTTCCCATTGCCAGACAAGGATCAAACTAAGTCTAAAAGGAGTTTCTCTTCTCTTGTCTTTTGTAGTTTAATTTGGAGTATTGTTTTCTTCATACTATTCTCTTCACGACCATTTCCTGGTAAAGCTCTCCGGCTTTTCCCGCTTACAATAGATTTTTCTGAAAAAATACTTTTTACATATCTCAGCTACGAAAGTGGTTTGAAAGAAAATTGGGTTTTCCGGAGCTCTCAACTTTTATGAGAAAGCGAGTCAACCCTAGAAAACTTGAAAACAGTCAACTTGGTAAAGATTAACATAGTCAACTGTCTTACATGGTCAAGGACAGCAAGTGTGCAATACTACTGTGTATCCTGAATATGTACAACTTAAGCGTCGGTACACTAGGTCCTCCTTTACAATTATCACCAAGTCAACTGGATGAGATAGGCAGTACCGTTCTCCACGCTCACTTCAAGTACGTAGTGGGCCGCTCTCATTATTATTATTTTATTGCAAAATAGCCCACCACAAAAGCAACACATAGTCAGACACGAAGTTAAGAGCACTGCGAACTTCTCACTTGCACTGAACGGTACCCCATATTTCGAAAAAAACATAGCATCACCCCTTGTCCCTTGTCCCTCGTCCCTCGACGTGACAAAGCGAGTCCTTCTTGTCAGCCATCCCCATGCCTGTTCTCACCGGCCCTTGATTCACTCTCCTTGAATAGATCCATATCTTTTCAAACCTAAGAAAATTAGAATGGGGTCAAGTTCATGCGAGGCACGTATTTATGTGTATCCCAATGAATTGAAATCTACTCTGTAGCTGAGACTAACAATTGTGTCTATGACATATGGCAGGGCAGCAAGCCAATTATCCTTGCCTCGTATTTCGACAGCCGATCATTTCTCTCGTTCAATAATTATGGGTGTAAGCACCCCATTATGCCTCAATCTCACTGCCAAGTTCAGCCGGACGATTTCCATCCACTTAATTTGGCAGTTTCCACCCTAACACCTTTCCCCGAAACTTCGGCACTAATTGGGAGTTTGGGTGTGTTCTCAGTACCCCAGATATTATTCTGATTCCTCTTTTCCGAGGGTCTGTTTGGATTAGCTTTTCGTTTGGCCTTCGCTGGAATATACCTGTTTTTGCGGCGCATGTTTTCATCTCGTAGCGCGGCCTTGTCTACAGAAAATCAATTCTATTTGTTTTTAAAAAATGTACACACCTGAAGGGAGAGAATTTTAATTCAGTTCAAGAATACCCACGCTACCTACTACATTCAGTATATTGGTGTAGAATATTTTGTGATCTTGGGTAATCGAAAATGGCAGGGCTTTGTTGTGGACACTCCAAATGTGCTCTTAGGCCCCCATTTCACATGACAGGCATAGAAATTGACAACTTCGTTGATCGGAATACTTTAATTATTTTTATTTACTGTACATCTGATTCAAGGGTGAGCGATGTCTTGCAGTAGTGACACATAAAACGTGAAAAAAATGAGATAAGTAGGTTACGCTGTGACATCGACTGAAGTTTTCAATTCCACAGCTTTACAAAGCTAAAGAGAATATTGGATTAGTAGACGTAATCTTATGTCCATGATTGACTTGCCCTGGGAATTATCCACATTTTCAACCCCCACAAACAATCTTACCCTGATACTAGTTTTAACTTCCAAGTCCATGTCATATTCGAGTTGACGTGTTGTGGAAGGTTATTTACGAATGTCAACATGTTATGTTCTTCTAAAACCAGAGGCTGGAACACGGCCCTAGACGAATTGTTGCCACGTATATCCACGTGGCTGAGAGGGCCGGCGCATCCTCTCTGAATCCCAGGGTACGGTCGAGTCCAAATGCCAAGTCACCTCTCAGCACATAGCCCTCGAAAGTGAAAGCATGATCCTCGTCGACCAAAGAGCATTCATGCAAGCAAAGAGGAGTGCTCGCTGGATGAGATGGGAGTTCGGGCTCTCTCCGCGATGCAAGGTTCAGTGAAAAACGGAAGACGAGGTCCGCTGGTTCACTCTATCGAATACCTGCGACGTTATGACGGGGACTGAGTTTGTCTGGCACTCTTCAAACCGAAACTCGTATCATTATGTGGGCACCATCATCTCTTGCGACAGATTTCCAGAAGCGAATCCAAGTAGATCAGCCCTTCATGTGCACGCTGACAAAGAGGCCGAAAGTGGGCAAATGCCAGAAAGAAAGATTCAGAATTCCAAAAGATGCCTCTTTTGTCGTGCCAACATTTCCACCGCATCTGTGTCACATCGGCCCGCCCGAACATGGACGACTCGACTCTCCTTGCATCCGACCCGAAGACCGAGCGGACGTGGTGCGAGTCCGTTCTACCAGGTTAGGAAGCACCGAGTTCTCTCCAGCGCGCAGTACATTCACTTCTGAGTTCAACCCCCGGGTTTAGTTAAGTTCCGAAGTCGTCTTAACCTTAACACCAGCCTTTGGTCAGAAGTTCAGCCGACTCGAGCAGCTCGCAGAACAGTCCAGTCTCGGAGGTTCAAGACTGTCTCCGCCTCAAAGGAAGGACATGGGTTCAAGTCACAACTGTCTGTTAACCCACGGAGCCAAATCCACCACCAGGCCTCTCGTTTCCTGAAGCCGGCCGCTCCACCCGCGGCGCGGCCCGACGCGAACCGGTATCCATATGCAAGAAGCACGCCGTCCGTACGCCACCGCATTAAAGTACGACGCCTTCACGTCGTCTCGACCGCGCGCTGCACGCCATCCCGGCAATCATTCATTTCATATGCTATGGTGCGCTTCTTCTTCTTCTTTACTAACGTCCGCGCAGCGCACTCCCCTGCATTGGCACATACGTACTTATGTAGTTACGTATTAAAATTTGGTACATACGATATCGACAATATACAGTTATGAGGAGCCGGAGAGTAAGGGCCGAATCCGCATGCCGTGCTCGACCTTCCTTCCTTGCTCCCTTCTTTCCTTCCTTGCGCCGCCGCAAGAGTAACAGTCGTCGTCGTGTCATATCTTCTAAGTGTCAGGACCCACATTATCTGGTCTCTAACTGCGATGCGATACCACATGCCATGGCTTGTTTAGAATCAGGTCGTTGCTGATTTGGAGTCGGGGTCTGACAGACGAATGACGTGGCAGAGCGATGGTTCTGCTTGTCAGGCGCAGGCCGGGCCGGTCCGATTTGGCGACGATCGTCCCTCCTGCTCGCGATGCACAGCGCTCCAAAAGAGCTCGTTCGTAAAGAGAGCATGTTATGGCGAGCAAATGTGTTCCAAAAGTGGACTACACTGCACTTAAGGAGTTAACACGTGCGGTCGCTCTGTGCCTTCTATTGCGCTGCGCGCGCTTCCTTCCTTTCTGCGCACCTCCAGCCTCAAATTACGGGGCATTTTCGGTTGAGGAGCCGAGCTCCGAGTTCCTCACCCGATGTACCTTACTGCGCTACGCGGGTGGCAGTCCTCCCCTACTGTAGGCTTTTCCGGTTTTATCGTGTCTGCGTGATCGCTCCGTTGGGAGGGCTCTTCTGAGGGCGGTTTCCGCTGTAATGAATTCGGCGGGCTGCCGGACATGCGGACGCACTGTTGGACTTGCGGCATAATCTACGGTGCCCGAGCGCCATGGCTCAGATCGGAGGAAGATTCACATGGCCGAAGAATTTTACTGTTCCAGCAGGCAATGTACATCCGGCAGCGAGGAACAGGGACCGCTTCTTCGCTTCGTAACTTGGTGCAGAAGGAAACCACGGCCTTTTACCTGTTAGAACAGGTCACGCATATTATCCAGTCCGGCAAGAACAGGTCATCACCCAAATCATTTGACCCCTGCATGAACATTCAAGTGGGGTTGAGACTACTTCTGACATTTCTGGTTACCTGAAAAGCAGGTAAAAAGCCGTGCCGGAACCCTCTCCCCGTAACTGTGTTTGCCCGTGGGGACGGGCCGCCGCTTGCAAATTTGCTGCCGAGGACAGAATGTTATAGAATATTCCGCTTCGGAAAGGGGATTCACGGGCCATGTGAATCCCACATACCGCATCAAAAGTTTGAACAAGTGGAATCGCCGAATTGTGCTTGAGTGAGCTATCGACGGTGTCTGCCCACCAGCTTCTACTGTTTTGTGGTTGTGTTCTACCATTGTTTTTCAAACTTAGGGTTCGCATTTCGACGGAATCGGATACTGTGTTGTACTCGAGACCGATGCCACTTTAATTTTGGGATCTCCTCTATCAATCTCATGGCGTTGGAGCACCGGTTTCTGCAACTGTTGGAACTGCCGACTTCGGCAGCGACTTCAAAGATTTTTTTATCTCAGGTAATCTCCATCTCTTTCTGAATTCTATCCATGTTCGGAGTCTGCATAAGACCGTGAATTCTCGTATTGGATTGCTGTTCACCATTTTGGGTCCATGTTACGTCTGCTTTTATGATCCAATTGGAATTCGTACAAGGGGGAGTTAGATGCAGGTGGTCTGCTTTGTTCTGGTTATTTGTTGGAAGTAGCGAGGAAGCAATAGCGCTAGGTTCACTAAACATGAAACTTGTGTTCAATCTTTAGGTCTCAAACCCCCAAGGTATCTAGAGGTGTTGAATTGTATTGCTCATCCATGGCCGTACTAATGTCTAGAAATTCTATTCTATGCCGATTTTTTCCTTTCATCATGGATCATAAGAAGCCGAATGTTTCATATCATTCCAGAATTTTATGGTGTCCGGATGATTATGGATAGTATCCACGCTTCCTTGTAGTCTGAAGGCTAGCTATTGGAAGTCGAAAGAAACAATCAAAACTACTGCCATCTTACAGGAAACATCATTGCAAAGGTCTCACTCCTATTTTTTTTAGTGATGCTACCTTGAAGCTTCTTACTGATTTTTCCTTCTTTGGATGTCTTCTGGAGCAGAAAATTCAGGACAAACTTTTTCCTGGAGGCCATATTCACGGGGTTGTACGTCCTGATCTCCCGGAAGTTCATCCTTTTTTCAAATTCGTTTCTGCCCGTGTTGCAACAGGTGAGAAAAAAAGGCCTAAATTGGGGACGACTATGGGAACTCCCTCTGCGGCATCTAGTTTAGAGATCATTGGACAGATGGAAAGCTCAGTTCAAAATGCCAGTTGCTGGCGAGTGCAGACTGTCGCTGCTCAGATGAGAAGTCGGAAGGACGTGTGCCGCCACTTATTGACTTCTGCGCAGACAGTAAATGCTTCTGGATATGGAGGTGCACTTCTGTTGGTGTCTGGAGGTATGAATTGTAGCTTTGGTTTCAGCAAAGAATTAGGGTGAGATAATAGAAGAAACTCGAGAGGCATCTCTTATGTTGCACATCTAAGGTTCTGTTGTTTCAGATTGTTCTCCTCTCGCTTCTGATGGTTTTAGTGCACCAAATGTCTGTTTTTTGTGATAATATTGGTAAGAGAGCTTGCCATGACGCTGCTATTTTTTCGAGAATGTTGAGTTACCAAAAGTTTTTCGGTTACAATCGTGTCTCAATGAAAACTTTCTTTTTTGGTTATGTATGTAGGACATCCTTTGAGACGGCTACCTGTTGTTGACCGATTTTTGCCATCCAACTCACTTGACATGTTACGCACTGCTTCTCAACTTCGAAAGTTTGGCAATATATCTCCTGGTAAAACCTTTTTTCATTCAAGGCTCCCCTTGTTAAGTTTGACTAGAATATCAAACTGCATATTGCATGTTGAGGCCTTTATATATACATTAAGTTTGTCAATAAAATTAAGTAGTACACGTAGTCTCTTATAGAAATGCAAAAATGTCGGGTCTTGCAAAGTACTGTATCTACAGAATATACATTTCTCTTCCTCCGGTTACTTGTCTTCCATGCTTTTCCGTCTTGCGCAAAAGCATGTTCCGCAAGGGCTTCTAGTTTTGTGGTCTCCGGTCGAGTTTCTGTTGAGAAAAATTCTTAGGGATAGCTTAAGTATCGACTGGTTTCACTCGAGTTTTCATGAAGGAATTCATATCACGTGGCTCGCTGAGGACTCTTCATAATCTGAGGCTGATGTTCTCTGTGGAAGGTACGCAATGAAGGGGTTCAGTTGTGGGCTGTTGAAAATCCTCTTCTGAATTCTGTGGCGCGCCTTGAACAGAAGGTATTCCTGCGCTACATCGAATGGTGGTTTCATTATGCAAGTTGTTGGCTGTCTATATTTTTGTTTCTTCCATGTTGTTTACTCAAATATCTCATGAATTCAAAATTCAGGAGTTTTGCATTTCGTTGTAGTACCAAAAGTTCCAATGTAAAAGATTTTAGCCCTTAGTTTGGAGGATGATTGCAGATTGAGGCTGGAGCAGAAACAGTGATTCTACAACCACCACTACTTATTGATCGATTTGGAGAATGGTGGGGTGCCGCAAGAAGTAGAGGGTAATGTACTTCTCTCCCCCCCCTGTATGACTCTGGATGGAGACGTTCAGTTACATTTGTTAGTAGTTCAACTTCGACAGTATCCACCTTACACTTTGTTGAAAGCCATATGCATATTCGAACAGGACGGAACTATAGATGTGGATATTCATTGTTGGTGTTTCTCATCCTACTGATCATTTGTGTCCACATACCTTTATGGTCATGCAATTGTCTCCTCCAGTCTGCTCGTTAGTTCGCTGTCTGGTACAAGTCTTTTGCTTGGTCGTCATACACACGAAATGTACAAATAACTGCTGTTGTTTTTGCTGATTCACTTGCATCGGACTCGAGCGCACCCAATTGAAGGCCAAGTTCGATATTTGATGTGTCGCCGATTGCCCTGAAACTAACATTTGCTTCCAGCGTCCCATACTTAGGTTACAGTTTTACCGTTTAACGTTGTTACAGTTTTGCCCTCTTTCAATCGATCATGTGTAGGGCTCGAATGTTTTGGCACACCTTTTAGATCCAGTCATAGTTGTGCTGCTTGTATCGAGTGCATGTAGTCGAGCTGGTTTTGTGGTCTTATGTTTTCTGTCTCATGACTTTTCATCGTGCTATTTGTGTGCTGGACAACTGGGCAGTCAATATGTGACAATTAGTTCTGTGTGTACTAACTGTCATCCATTCAGCTGAGGTTGGTTGTTGGTCAACTCTTATCCCATGTCCTTGTTATGATCCAGTCATAGTTTTGCTGCTTGTATTGAGTGCATGTAGTCGAGCTGGTTTTGTGGTCTTATGTTTTCTGTCTCATGATTTTTCATCGTGCTATTTGTGTGCTGGACAACTTGGCAGTCAATATGTGACAATTTATGCTGTGTGTACTAACTGTCATCCATTCAGCTGAGGTTGGTTGTTGATCAACTCTTACCCATGTCCTTGTTATGGTTTTGCATGGTATTGCCGGGAGTTTCCCTTACCGGAGCTCATCTGAAACCTTACCGACACATCTTACTTCGCCTTCCGTTCATATACTTTTCATGAAGATTTTCAGCTACTTACTTCTCAAATCACTCACAGTAACTCTTTTACTCTCATTGCTACAGTAGTAAATTGTCCATATCTTGTCCACATCTTGTTAGGTTGTCTTTCTTCCTCTCGGCTTATGTAGATCTATGGAGATCCTATCGTCTGTACACTTTTAGGAGTTAATGTGTACAGGTCATCGCACAGTATGATTTGAGAATACTCCATACCCTGTGCTTTTGCATTTGAAGGCATCCCTATTGTGAATAACGTTTCTTCGAATTTAGACTACGCGGAATGTTGGCACTTGGAACCGCAATCATCCATTCACTTGTCTGTTACTAGGCAATGTCAAACATCTTGTGTTCAGTTGTAAGTGTGGATGCCTGACTGCTTTTGGAGTGTTAGCAATTTGGGTGCGCTAACTTGCTCTTATGTCAACTCTGGATAACATTTGCAAGCTTAGATCAGTCAATACACTTCATTGATAGATAGAAAGTAAATAAGTTTTCAGCACTTATTTGTTTTCACAACGAATACAACCCCTTTTTTTTTTTTTTTTGGGTGGGCCGGATTACTTTATTAATGAATCTCGTCGCTAAATTGTTTTTTTCATCATAAAATTTCTATGTTGCTTTGCTATCACGTGTGTTATGTGCCGTGGATCTAGAGAGTGATGTCCTAAGTCCTAGCGGTCCTAGCAGCACCTGTTACCTTTTGATGGTTTCTCTCACGTCTTTGCTTGTGGCGGACTTTCTTGTCGAAGAAAAGGAATTCACGCTTTGATTCAATCAGTTGACACCAAAGACTGATTTGATGTGAACGGTTTACTGGTAAACCCCGCTTTAGCTTGCCTGGTACACTACACACTGGTTTTTTGTTCTCTTATTGATTATGTACTTGTTGATCTCAAGATTGCTCGTTTCGCCTACAGTACGTACACAACGGGATTTTCGTGGATATCTTGAAGTGTTCCTACTCCTACCCTACACAAGGGAATCATCCGATGTTCACATTCTCGCTCAATTTTCATCTTGAGAAACCAGTCTGTGTTTTTGTTGTGTAACAACTCTCTCTATGCGTCATTTTCCGACCAACCACACCGGCCATTATACATAAAATTTGATATCTCGTTGAGTGTTTGTTCTCGTATTGAAGTTACCGCTTCAGCCTACATTGGCGTGTATCGAACTTTGTCTAACATCCTGTACATTTGCCCAGAAACTTGTACAACTTTGTTTTGCTGTCCTGTAGGTTCTCTCTGTATGTCCCCGGATAGATGGTTGATGATTCTTTGTCGGCCCGAACCTCCTCTTTCCTTTTGCTACCAACAAAACGCATATTCCAATGCTATGTTTCAAAGTAAGGCTGTTTTTTACTCTTCGATTACACGCTCTGAAGAGAGATACTATCTAAATAATGACTCTTAAGTTTTTATCTTTTGCGCTGCTAGCTTCTGAACAGAGAAACAACTCATTTCTACGGGCTAGATTTGCTTACATTTACCTGCTACCACTTGTTTTGTCCTACGTTGTGCAATGTGTTTTCTCATGAGTTTTATATATAGTATGTATTTTTGGTAAAACAATCAGGCCACAGAAACATTATATCAGTATTCTTCTCTCATAATTACACCTGAATGTGATCATGAGAAATTCATCACTTGCTGAGTGGACTTATGAGTGTTGGATTGCTGTGGAATGGGGTAGATCTTAATATTCAACATAAATTTTAATAGTGGTAGTATTTTTTATTTACAGCATGTGTGAAGGTAAGAGTGAGTGGAAACTACTAATAGCAAGTGCCAAAGGGTCTTCAGCACCTATTGCGATTAAATGATCATTTGAAGTTCATTCACATTGTACATTTATATTTTGGAAAACAAAAGAATCATGAGAAGTAACTTCCGATGATCTTCCAATAACAGTAGCTCATGATGCCTCAAGTATACTATGCGAGATTCTAAAACTGAGATTGAACCAACATAGATACTCACCACTTCAGAGAAAACAGTGCCTCGAAAATTCTGCTGGAGCACTACTGTCACTTCCACTCCATAGCAATTTACCCCTCAAAGGTAGCTCATGATGATGCCTCAAGTATATTATGCGTGATTCTAAAACTGAGATTGAACTAAGATAGCAATTTACCCCTCAAAGGTAGCTCATGATGCCTCAAGTATATTATGCGTGATTCTAAAACCGAGATTAAACTAACATAGATACTCACCACTTCAGAGGAAAGACTGACTCGAAAAATCTGCTGGAGCACTACTGTCACTTCCACTCCATACCAATCTACCACTCAAAGGTGTGATTAGTATCTCAGGATCACTCGTAAGGAGATTGTCTCACCTGTGTACTTTTACTAACAGTTCCGAAGGTCTTTTGGTCTGAGGTCTAAACCTGACACAAATCTAAAACCCTAGCTAATGAACCCGAGAAATCTGCCACCCTGTCTCATTAGCCCCCAAGATAACTCTAAGCCTAATGTTATCGTAACTAATTGAGTTATTGCCATTTTTCTTCATCTGAGGTGAAATCAACATTATATAACTCATCTTATTTCATTATGAATCTAGTATTTTCTAGATTGTTATCAAACGTAGACATCGGCGTCTGATTTTTCTTCAGAGAGCATCCACGTAGGTTGCATGTCCATTCTGTATGCGAAGCAAAAAGTTTACTACTTACGTGGAGGTACAGTTGCAATCTTGCTTCATTGGTTCATAGTTTGATTTCTGCTGGCATTGAGAATGTCTACTCGATCTTTCCACGTGAATGACTATAGATATCTGTATGAAACGAAGAATCGCCCCGGTAACCGAGAGAAATGATTTTCTTACATTGAATTGTCATATTGTTATATACGGAACAAATTGATGAGATAAACTTCTACTGTATACCTACGTGAGAAACTTCGTAAGCTCCTAATGACAGCTGTACTTTTTCGTGACAGATTAACAAAAGCTGCTCGAATCGTCGTTGGCCTTCCTCTTATAACCTCTGTGGACAACCTAGCGTTCTGGTTTGAACTGACGCAGACTTCAGGTACGTCAGGCTACTATATATTATTCACGTCTGAAAGAGAAAGTGTGATTGTGATTGTAAATCGGTGATTAGGGGACAGAACGTTCTTTGTGTTGAAGTTCCCTTGACTGGTCCCCAACCCACGGATAATAAGTTCAACTCTTTCGTTTTGAAAAGGGTTAACTTTTTTGAGAGAAAAGGAAGCATTGTTCAGAACAAATTTATGAATGAACCGTGTGCTATACTAATAATGCTCTGACAAATATCACCTGTTTGTGTTTCACTTTTAGTTTTTATCTGCACAGATTAGCCTTATGCTATTTATTACTTCAGTTCGAGTTGAATGTTTTGTGCTATATTGACTAATCACTCCTGATACTACACTTTTGCGATTTTTACGTTCATCTAATGGTCGTTTTTGCTCGTGTGGCCATTATATCTGAAGGTATACTTCTCGTAAGCTGATTTAGGTTCAGCGGTAAAGCACTGGCCGTGCATCTTAAAGTGTACGTTTACGTTATGCATGGAGTCATGGTTAATTGTTGAAGGAAGTTTTGTTTGCAGGCAAGCAAGTTGATGCAAAATTAGCGGAGCTTAAGAACATTGAAGCTGATCATTTGGGAGACGACAGTGGATTAGCAGCTTATTTCAAACTGGAGTCAGCTCGTCTCATACAATACATAAAGAGCCTGCCCGGTACTTTTACTTGGAACTATCATTTCTATCAAACATTAAGCATACATATCTGCCTTCATGAAATACCTCAATCTTAGACCGTTCGACGTACGTTTGCCGCTCACATATTTCCCATCGTTGGAGAGTTGGTTTATCAAAGAATAATATCAGACTAACCATAATAACATGATCTACAGCCCATGTTATGTTACCTTTATTCTGTGTGCATTTTGAATGTTCTGTGAACCTTTTGTAGTTTTTTGGATACGGTTTTGGTTACGGTGTACGAACTTTGAACATAATAAGGTTACCGTGGATGGCAGACGTTGCAGGAATCCACTTCATGCCCGTTACACCATCTGGATGGCGACAGTTCTCATCGTTGCTGGACGATCAGAGACCAACTGAGGAACTAAGCTGAGAGTAGGACGTGTTCCACAAATGCAACTCTGGAACTTCTCAAGGGCATGAACGACATTGAACATCACTTGTCAGTTGTGAAAAGGTTTGTCAACAACCATTTGCCGTTCGTCGTCATTTTCTTCTTAAGCATCAGATCATGAGTACATTTTTACCTTTATAGGATTGCTCTCGCTTAAGCGCTCCTTTTCGCTGGTTCTGAATAACTTAGAATTTCTTTTTTGTGCAGATCTTTCCATGTGATCGAAGAACTTGATTATTGTGCGTGAAGGTGCATTTGAGTGCCACTTCACAGTATCTGTCGGAGCATATGCTTAGACGAGTTTCAAACTAGATAAGGTAACTTTCTGTACGCAAAGACTAATATTTGTCTGAACTCTCCCCGTGAGAGGGGAGAAGGCACAGCAAAAAATATATAAATTTTTTTAAACCGGCAGGTCGAGCCCTCCGGGCCTCTCCCTCTTCGCACCTCCGGAACCCTTTTTGCTTTCAACCATTCCACTCCACACGCAGCCGGATCCACCCGGATCACCTGGAATGATATCAGTTGATTTTGTAGAGTTCAAATTACTATGGCCTACTCCAAAGTCAAGGTACCCCAGTCAAAAACCTTACATCGCTTGACGGAAGTGTCTTAGGAAAGAAATGTCCCCAAGGGTTGTCGATCAAAACAGAGAGACTGCACGATCAAAAATCAAAACAGAGAGATCAGTTAGTCACGCATGATTTCCTGTTGCTTGTTGCATTTGTCCATTTCGATATGACTTGATGTTAGAAATGTGCATTAACTACCCCGGGTATTGATCTCGTTATTTTGCACATGATAGCAAGTTGATCCGGCTGTGGATTTTCTATATTTGTTTTAGGTGAGTGGATATGCGTAATATTGATCTTCATCTTATCTGAAGTGGGCATGTTTTTGTTGGCTAAAAAATTGTTTTAAACTGAGGTTAACCATCTCATGTTCTCTCAAGTCAAAAAATGGACTGAACATATTTGAATGTAAGTTGGACAGCTGAGTTATTTTCACAATAATTTAAGTCCCTTAATCTTTATAAACTTTCTCGAAAAGCTCGAAACAAGAAGACAGCATCAATTTTGCAACCTGTTTACAGAATTCAAAGAATCCACTCAAAGAATTTCAAGTCATTGCGCAGAGTATTGATCATAATAAAATGGAATTTAATAAAGATGCGAAGAAATATCCTATCTCATAAATATGAATAATTCGCGGGTGAGTGGTAGTAAGTAGTTTTCTCTAGTAGTGGAACTATCCAAGATATACAGTACACCTAGCTTTATTGAATATCTTCATCGGCCAATGTAAATATAAGTACCCTATTCTCACGAGTGACAAGTAATAAAACCATATCTGATACTATTGGAGAAGTAAAGCAGGAGCAATGCAGGAAAGGGTCGAGACACAGTTACTGAGTCCTCGAGAGAAGCTCTGAGTTGTTGTTATACACAGGACCCGGATTGGGTTTAAGTACCCGATACGAGGTGACAAGGGAAAATTGGAATTTACACCTCCGTAGTGGGAAGGGTAGTGGGATCTAATGGTGACAGGGATACCCCGTAGTGGGAAGGGTAGTGGTGTCTAAAGATCACAGGGACACCTCCGTAGTGGTGTAGTGGTGTCTAGTTCACTATTCCTTCTGTCGATGAAATATAAAACATATATTTGTTGAATATAAACATGAATATTGAACATAACTCTGTAAGCCTATTGATACACCTATGGAACCCGGTTTGAAGTTAAGTGTGCTTAACTTAGTGGGAGCCATAGGTGTATCAATAGGCTTACAGTCAGCCATGGTGAAACTCGCAAGTTTTTTCAACCAAATATCGTGGTTGTGAGATCCGAATCCACCCTTCTACACGATTTCTGTACACTTGCATACCAAGACAATGATGGATCTCTTCTAAGTACACCGAATCGAACTCCGTTTTGAGTTTCTCCTTGATATTCGTAAGAAGATGCAAGGAATCACTCGCCTGTACACAGTCGTCCACATATAGTGCCAAATACACAAATGCCAAATAAACATTCTGATCTGCATCAGCTCTGGTAAAGCGAATCTGCAGTAAGAACGAGTCAATCCTTTGATACCACTGTCGTGAGGATTGCTTCAGTCCAAAAATGGACTTATTCAGTTTGCATACCATGTATTTCTCAGAAGAGATATTCAACCCTTCAGGAAGGGCCATGCAGACTTCTTCATCTAATACCCCGTTCAGAAATGCAATTTTCACGTCCATCTGGTGCAGCTCCAAATTGTATTGAGCGGCTAGAGCCATTAACACCCTAATGGATGTCATCTTCACCACAGGAGAAAATGTTCCGAAAAGTCAAACACCACAAGCATGTGAATATCCTTTCGCTACTAATCTGGCCTTATATCGATCAACAGAACCGTCAGGCTTGTATTTGATTTTATAAATCCATTTACAGCCAACGACGTTCTTAATCGCAGGTTACTCTGTCAATGTCCAGGTTTGATTTTTCTTCAAATAAGAAAATTCATCCTCCATAGCGTCTTTCCATTTGATAGAATCACCATTCTGTAAGGCCTCTTGATAAGAAGTAGGTTCTTGGTGATAGAATCACCATTCTGTAAGGTCTCTTGATAAGAAGTAGGTTCTTGGTAAGTCTCTCCATACGAGAATAAACCTCGATACTTCTTCTTCTTCTCCAAAAGTTGATCATGTTTTTTGACACGTTTCCTTACTCTTCCCCCCCTTCGAAAGATAGGATCGATGGTGTGGGCAGAGGATGAAGCTGCCCCCTAGCTGTATCTGTCTTGTAGCCGGGACCTCAGATGTAGTGTCTTGAGGTCTGAGTTTACCCAGTAAGTTCTCGAGGTTGCGAACCGTATCAACAAGAGGAGCAGAAGAGAGAGATTCTCACGTAGCTTCCATGTGCGCCTCTGATAAGTCTCGCCAAAAGGTCGGATAAGTGGCAGGGACTTCAGCTGTGGGAGGATGACTTGAGCAGTATGGATGGCTTTGCCTTAATAGCCATGAGAAAGAGCAGAATGTGTGAACATATCGACTACTGAATCGATCAAAGTACGATTCTTCCGTTCAGCTACTCCGTTTTGTTCAGGAGTATCAGGAATAGGAAACTGTCGTTGAACACCGTGAAGCTTACAAAATTCAGTAAAAGCTCAAGATTTGTATTCAAGAGCATTATCTGAATTTTGTATGGTATTCAACGACAGTTTTCTTTTCCATATTGAAGAAGTAAAGCAAGAGCAGAAAAGGGTCGAGACACAGGAACTGAGTCCTCGAGAGAAGCTCTGAGTTGTTATACACAGGACCGGATTGGGTTTAAGTACCCAATCCGAGGTGACAAGGGAAAATTGGAATTTACACCTCCGTAGTGGGAATGGTAGTGGGATCTAATGATGACAGGGACACCCCCTAGTGGGAAGGGTAGTGATGTCTAATGATCACAGGGACACCTCCGTAGTGATGTCTAGCTGCAGTCTAACTATAATTACACAAGAAGCAATAGGGAGTAATTAGTATTCTAACAGATACCGCTTTAGATTTCAATCTATTTGATTTTAGTTTACTTTACTTAGTAATATGTTGGTAAAATAAGTCAATTTTATGAATGGAAAGATAGAAAAATTCAGCGAAGAAAAGATCCTTTAGTTAGGAGAATCAAACTAGATAGATTAAAGCTATGATGATCATAAATGTTTCTTGAAAATGTAAACCAAATATCAACGCTGGATATATAACCTACATCTCTAAAGTATAGAAGAGACTAAAATTCTGCATCAACATTTAAAATTTTCATCACAAAACCATTAATGTAATCTTTTTTCCATTATTTCATAGTGTATTGGTTCAAACTACGGATTATCTGTTATTATTTTTGGATTTTATTAAAAAAAAGGTCTAATTTTATTTCTTTATATGAAATTAAAAACATGTACGGACAATGTTGTACCATGGACAATACCATGTCTTTAGATCTACTTATCAAAAACTACATCAACTTAGAAAAAGAAAAATGTATGTTATTTACAACAGATCTATATCACATTAGAGAAAGAAAAATATATGTTCTCTAAAACAAAAATCAAATTTCTACATTATGATCTTGTAATTTAAAACTTTAAGAGCATTGTTTGTCAAAAGTAACATGTGATTAGTATATAAAGGTTAAGAGTCGAATCAGCGCTCTAGTATAAATACCAGTTAACTTTCACTTTTGTCAACTCGCAGGTTCATTATACTATCACTCTTCGTTCTACCGCGGAGTTAACTCTGACAGGGTGAACCCCATATCTACTGTGTGCTTGTTTAATATTTTGTGTAAATTTTCTACTACGTGTTTCTCAAAAATATATATTCAAGGATAATGACTTGTTTTTTTAAATTTCTCAAGATTTTATATGTACATTAATGTATTATCAATTTGGATGTTTATAATTTAATTTTTAAATTAAGTTTGAGATATATGTCATTTTTGAGAAATAAATCTTTGAGAAATCCGAAGTTATTTCACCCTTGTTTGATCTAGTGATCAAACAAGGGTGAAATAAAATAATATCAATTGATAGTATCATTACAAAATAGTTACTAGACACCAACATGATTCATTTTATTGTATGAAACATTTGACAATTCTATAATACATCATCATAGATAGTCAAGTAGAAGTTCTTATAATTCTATAGTTGACTAATATAATGTGAAGGAGGTAACCCTCTTATTAGATCAAAGTACTTTCAAATGATTATTGTAGCCATGAGTTTGAAATGTTTCCAAGATAATACTTTGTCCAATTTCAGAGTATACACGTCAAAGCAAAATAAAGAACCAGTTTACAATGAAGTTGGTTCAATATGACAGAAACAATGATGTATTGAAATAACACTAGGGTTTAGATAAAATTTCACTTGAAGATAAAAATATAAACATTTAAGATGAGAGTTACCAACAATAGTTCCACACTTATATAGCTCTTACTAACAAGTACATGGAAATAAAATCATATCCACACCATTCATTCCACTCCTAATGCGTTTATGCCGTGGCGGATAACACTAACATACACACGGATTGATGACATGACACTCTCAATGAATACAATAACTGAAACATTCAATCATTACCTAACAAACATGCGGATCACTAATGTGGCATTGTCAACTAACACATATATTATCTACCTACAAGACACACGGATAGTTGACATGACAACTATTACTAGTGCGAGCTAAAGTAACTATATAAATATTTTGAATAACCTCTATTTTAGTTCTAACTAACTATAGATGGTTACAAACCTCACTTCTTTTAAGACGTAACATACTCGTTACACATCCGATCAAATTTTTGAACTATCAACGGTGCATTAGTTAAAATTCTAGTTGGTTCCCAAGTTGATTCCCAAGTATGTTGTCATTGTATGAATCGGTTTTCTTGTTGTGCCGGTCGAATTCGACAAAACTTGGCAATGTGACTCATTGGTCCACATGCATAGTATTCACGATTGCACAAACTTCCGTTCCTCCTCTAACCATTCTATCATTTGTATAACCTTCTTGCAAATTTGGAATACCTTGTTGATGTATCTTACCTTCAAATCTTGCGGTTGTTCTTCTTGCTAATGCAAA